CATTATTATAGTTAATTTAGCCACAGAAATAAATTTTAAAATTAAAGTCTTAAAATATTACCATCATCTAAGGGTATCGGCTTTATTGAAAACTCTACCACACGTGAGATATGAATCCACGACCATTGGATTGTTTGCAAAGATCTTTTGCCCACTCGGCCACTCAAGTGGATCTTTTTTAAAATATAGTTAGCGGGCACAGAAGACTTTCAATCACAGCCAAACGTCCAACGGTGACTATTGGTAACGGGCTTTAGTGACAATTCCATTCCCTTGGTAAAGTTCGTAATACCTTTTTTACGCTAATATCTTTCAATACAGTCTGGGTTTGTAGCCGTAGATATTCGCATTTTTTGCCAATATGGCTTGTACACCGAATTTTATCCACAGCATTTGCCGGTTTGGTGTAGCAACCGATGCCTTTCGAAAGTGCTGATATTCGTATTAAACTCTTTATATTGATACATAATTCAACATTTCATTTCTGTTTTTAAAAGGGAACATGTATACTCAATTTGCATTAATTGACAACTTTATATATTTTGGAACAAATGAAGACAATGAAGAATAGGAAGAACACAGATAATTCAACTTGCTGTTTATGCTGTAATGCTTACCTTTCGAAATTTATTAAAACAATTTGTAAATTGGGATATGGATACAATCGGCATTTATTTTAATTTACTTGTTTATTTTTTTTTTTTTTTCTGGTTTCCTTTTTTATGCTACACAGTTATGCTTCTATTTTGCATACAATTTTCATTTTGAAAGTGTAATTACATAATGACTTGCTCATTTATAAAATATGTGTAAGTGTATCGGTGACTGTTTTCAATAATGGACAATAATTAATCTTATTACCAAATGTTATGATATATATATATATATATATATATATATATATACCATGTACATGGTATATATGTACATTTTGTTATATTGTACATGTATGTTATATTTATCATTCATATACCCACCACTTGAGGGCGTGCTGCTTGGTTGTCTTTTCGCGATTGGAAATATGATTTAAACAATTCTAAATTAGAACTACTAGTTGAGGTAAGTCTTAAAAAGTCCGTACGTTCGTTCGTTTTAAATATGTTTGCGATATTAAAATTCAATAAAGAAAAGATATTAGAATTCTTTTCAAATTAAAAACAAAAAAGCAGTAGAGGATATCGCTTCTAAGCTAACTAAGCTCGAATCGTTAACAAAACTGCGGAGAAAATAAATGATTCTAAATGGTCTTGTACCGCTTTTATTTGAAAAAAGAAGGAAAAGCTAAGGAATTGTGACATTTTCACAAGAATTGATTATGAATATTGGATTGCGTCGTTTTAGTGTAATGAAAATGATTAAATCTACTGTACAAAACGTGAATGAACACTAGTTTATTTTTACATTTAGACAATTAGTGTTACTTATCTTAAAGTACTAAAATTAGGGTCAATTAACATCAAAGTTTGAAAAATTTGATTGAAGGGAAGAAAGTTGCTTTTGCGCCTTAAATCGAATCGAAATTCAGAATCACCACCTCAAACCAATATACAAAATTTGTAAAATGTTTTATTATTTTTGGGCGTATTAATTAGTCTATTGGCAATATTTTTCTTAATTTGCAAATATATTTGAAAAATTTGTAGTTTAGAGTAAATTTTAAGTTGTTCTCCGACTTTTGACTACAAATCAGGAATACGCCTATAAAATTCTAATATACAATCTTAAAACCTTGTAACCTTTACGATTACAACATATAATTTAGCAAAAATTAACTGATCAACTATATACACAAGTTATGGTAACCTTTGAAGTATTTTTATATACTACCAACGTACACAGACGAAGGACAATAGCGTTCTATATTTTGATGTTGAATATAAAAAAAATTTATGTATTCTCTCGTATTGTCGGATTATTATGAAAAAAATATAATGAATTTATCATTCTATTTATTTACAAAATTTCTAAGCACCTCATCAAATCTGTATATATTTGATCCGCATGTATCGTCGATTTAATGATTTTCAAGTTGTTTTGTCGCTCTTAAACAAAATATCAAAAATATTCACATATACAAAGTTGTAACACAACGCATATTCAACTTTTGAACGATTTCATAGTTCGGATTTTAAAATGATCGCTCGCTTTGCTTATTAACGCGCTTAAAATGCACAAAAAATTGAAATAATTTCTAGTTTGGAACCTACATCAACAGTTTGCAAACGCTCGTGTCATATGATTGCAGTATGAAAGTCATGAGGAGTTTTATCCTAAGGCTAAAATCATTAGATGCTTACCATTCTGAGCAATATTGTCATAAAAATATTTTTTATTACAATTCTCACACTTAGAAGTACGCGTTAAATATCAAATGAAGCACATTTTTTTTGCTGATCGCCCTAAGAATTCGAGTGAGGTTAACCGTATCTATTTATGCGGTTGCTATTTGAATTCTGATGGTCGTTAAAAAGTCAATAATTTTAAGGCTTATAGGATTTGTTGCATTTATAAATTTTGAACACTTACATCGTATGCCTTGAATTTCTCGAACAACTTATTCACAATCAGATGAGCATCTAACAAAACTCGATTTCGATTAAACTTTTCAAGAAACAAAAAACACCGAAGAAATATTAAATGAATTGTGATTTAATTTAACTATTGAAGGTTCACTAATACTAATCGAAAATCTGTTTGAAAATCTGTTCTGATTTTGTCGATATCTTCCACTTTGAATAAATTGGAACCTAAGCGGTGGGTAATCCATATACGCCCTGAGGCAAATACAGATTTTTTGATTTTTGTGATTTTTGTTTTTTCAATTGTTGTTCTATTATCTTTTCTTTTCGTTTTTCTGTTTCCCTTAAAAAAATGATGATAATATGTTTAAAATACATAGATATTTATTAAATATTAGCCATTTTATATTAATAAAGTGTTCATCGTTAGGACTTAATAATATAGGGTTTCAAATGTAATGTTTTTCTTTTTACTTTTTTACAATTTTTAGTTTATGTTCTACTCTCTGAATGTATATGTGCGTATTTATGTGCATGCATAATTATTTTGTTTTCAATATATAGATGGAATGCCTCAAAATGAATTGATATTTTACAATTCTTAGCTTTTAAATAAGGAAATTTAGAGCAGACAAAATCCCTAAAGGGGGGAGAACGCCAGATATCGGTTGTTTTTTTATAACGTAAGAAAATATTACCAACAGAAAAAAAAAGCAATTAAAATATCAGTTCATCTCGAGACTGCGCATTTATAGTTTGTATATTTTAGCCTGACTTTAATATGTTGTTTTTCTCATTTCCTCTTTTCTAATTGTAAGTGAAAAACAATAAATAATACACCTAAATATTGGTTGTTAAAATCGAAGTTTTAGATGTTCATGACATATATATATATATATATATATATATGTAAATGTGTGTGTGTTTGAATGTGTGTGCGTGTGTACATTTATGTGCATAACTATTAAGTAAAAGACTCTTATGTATGTTTTTATAGCCCACTGCACGATACTTATTACGGTTTCATGCAATTTCTCTTCTGTTTAATTACTATACACAATGCTTATGAATGACTAACTATATATTTACATTTACATTTGTTTCTAAATATAGGCATCTATTGCGTTTGTATTTTGGTGTATTACATTTGTATCTATATACATTTTTTTTTTAAATAAAATAAAGTAATGAATGCTTTTTACAGTTATTTTAAATATGTCTTTTTTGTATCTAATTTAATTATTTATTTATTTATTTTTTTTTTATGTATATTTTCGCATTATACATCCGGACGGACATTATATGATACAAATTAAGTCTACGTACAAAAAACTGTAATATGAAAAATAATTAAAATAATAAAAAAATTTGTGCTTTTTGAGTAAACTCTACTATTGGTGTGCGCCGTTAATTTGAATGAATGAAAATCACGATACGAGTGAATGGAACGAGTCTAGAGTTTGTGCATATATGTTTTTATAGCTATTCAATATTCAGAAAAAGTTTCAAGAAATTTAATTCAACTAAAGCCAGTGAAAGTTTCAGTGAGTTAATCAAACGCAAACCTTCGAGAACACTTCGTTCTTGCCTTGACGAACGGGGAAATTATCCCTAAATGAGGATAAGCTAATGTATAATATAATATATGTTAATAAGGTTTATAACGAATTGGTTTTCCCTTATTCGTATTTCCCATTTGCCAATCGCGATCGGTATTACATTGAGTTTCCACTCTTGTTCGTCAACGTTCGTTGTTCGAGCTTCTGTGGATATGAAAGTTGAATTTGAATTTGAAAGCTAAAAATTTTTATACTAATTCACTTTTGAAAATGAGTATAGTCCAAACACAAAGATACAAACAGTAGAATAAAAGATGAAAAATAGATCAAATAACTTCGTAGAATGAAAACGAAAATTTTCAAATATTTTCATCATTCATCTGAGAACAAAAATGCAATCGCGATTGAACCCTTAATATGTTCATCCATTTAAATTCCACAGTTTGTGAAGCGTGTCATCCTTTTAACAAAAAAATGAAAGATGAAATATATACAAAAAGATTTAGTGAAGTGGATATTCGAGGACATTCAAGATTACTGACTTAACGCAAAGTTACTTGAGCGTGTTTTAAATGTTTTTCCGATATCTTTTCAACGTGTATATGGAAGCATAGTAGACCTTTCTGAGAAAAGACCAGAATAAAAATATGTCTGAAGATACATCTTGCATGTGGTTTCGTGATTTCGATAAAGAAAAGACGTAGCGCGGGAGAATTCGTTGCCGTAGTGGTCATCAAAAAGCATGGATCACTACTCCCATCCTTCCGTATTCCTAGTTTGTTAACCGTATAACCGAAAAATGAGAAGCTTGCAACACCCAGAAGGAAGCCTCTGCGACTTCATAAAGTATATATGCTCTTGATCAGCATCAAATTCTGAATATATTTAAGTATGTCCGTCTGTCAGTCAGCAAAAATAAAGCTATCGGCTTCAAATTTGACAAAAATATTGAAAATGCTTGCACGCAGGTTGATATTGAAAATGGGCAAAATCGACTCAAGGCTACGCCTACAGTAGTACCTAAAATCAGGACAGGGCTGTTTTTCAAAACAAATAAAAAATTGGTTTTTTGCTCATTATTTATGATCTCCAGCAGATAAATTCACAAAAATTCGAAAGTATATTCTTTGGGCACTGCTGTAATATCTCTAGAAATATTGAAAAAATTGGCGAGAACCGTCCAATTTAAAGTGTATCATAAAACCCTTGTATAACATACAGAAGCAAGGTTCAAAAACCCCATAAAGTATTTAAATTTTTCTCCAGTTTCAAATACAGAATGCACGTAGGCATGTAGGTCCACTCATCTACACATTGGTCCGTTTTCTCATTTGTGTAGTGCTTGTAGTACACGCTCTCCCGTTCGCGCGAATGAAGGTAGCGCCTATAAAATTGCAAAACAGTTTGAAACTGATCAAAGAAGATGCCGACAACGCCCACACGCCTATACAATCGAAACTGAGAACAGCTTGCTCTCCGTGCCTTTCTCTCGTTGCTGATAAGCTACAACAGATACACGATATAAATTTCCACAAAATTACTCTACAAAAATAAAAAAAATAGCCACGTTCACACAATATTATGAAGTGCGGATATATTTTCCTTTTTTTTGTAATCTTTTATAGGATAGCAGTGATGGGTACAAAAGATTCGGCCGCAACTGAATATAATATTCTTACTTATTAGTCATAAATTATGAAAGATAGAACGCTAGAATTTTCTATACTGACTTAATGAAGGATCCTATTGTTCACGTAAAAAATTGTAAAAAATCGGCCCCGTCCACACAAAGTCATAAGAAATCAAATTTTTATATTTTTACTTTTTTTTGACGGTTTCCTCTTATTACTTCTAAGCTAAACAAGACAAGAACTATGCTTAGCATTTCCCATATAAACACATATTATCTGTCTACAAATGAATAAATTCTAAAATAAATATGATGGCCCCACATGGTTGGAGGATTCGTTTTTTTCTTATCAGCATAATTAGTTAGGTGTCAACCAAAACGACTTGGAGAGTAGAATGCGAATGTTAATTTTACATTAAATACTACCGGCGCCGTGACGTGATGTGTTAATTTTTCTCGACAATGCCGTCGATATTGGTATCAAACAAAAGGGCTTGGAAAACACAAGTGGATAGGATAGCGATGATGGGTATAAAAGATTCGGGCTCGAATATAATTTTCTTACTTGTTAAACTTAGGTATCAAACTTTAGAAAAAAGTGGACCGGGGACTGTCAATGAACTACTTACACAGAAAACCCGATACTCGCGGAGTCATTTTTCAATATCTATCAATGAAATATTCAAGTTCCAGGGGCTTGCAAAAAAAAAAAAAGGCAAGTAAATATACAAAATTTAACAACTGATTGGGTACCAATATTATTAAAAAAATTTTAAAGCTCCGTATTTTCAAATGTCAAATACATGTAAATAATTAATTTATAATTTCAAGTTCAAGTGTCTCTCTCCCCCGACACCTCTCTCTTCCGCTCTCTATCTGCTGCCCCTGTTCTTTCTCTTTCCCTACCTCCTTTTGACCGGCACTGTGTTACAAATATTGGTGATATCCATTCAGCGATTGGTCATAAAAAAAAAACAAAAAAAAATTTATTATTTTATTGTTGTTAGTTTTAATGAATGATTTTGGTAAAAGAGAGAAAATCTTCAAGAATAATACAGTGGCTGTCAAACTTCTGGATTTATGGGGAAAATTTTACCAGCTTTCAATCAGCTTTAAGGATACAGTTAGACATAACATCACTGAGAATTTAGATGAAGAGCACAATGGTCTTAAAAAGAAATTATTGTAGAGCAACTATATTAATACGATGTTATGACTGGAGGTCAACTTTTTATAATAAATGCAAGATTTTACATGTACTCTTGGATATTATATTTCTTACGAGTGTCTGTTTAGCATTGAATGCACAAATTGAATTCGGCTTAAATATTTTAATAGTAAATTATTTAGTTATTCGTTTGAATATTTCTTTCAAAAATATCGTTTAATCATATAATCTTGTACGAGTCTCTATACGTATGTATGTACGCATTGTATTTCATATTATGGTATATATGTACAATATATACAACATACGCTTATGTACACATAGCGTTTATATTTATACATCCGCTACCGCAGAGATCAAGACTAAATCCAATTATTCAAATAAGAATTTCATAAATAATATAATTAATAATTAATGGCTTAAAATGATTATTTAAAAAATGTGAAAAAAGTAGCATAATGTATTTCTTGCATATCACTTATACGATAGACAGATTGCATTAAAAAATACACTGGTGACAATGATGATGATTATGAGTGTGTTATTTACGAAAAGTGTGAGATTTTAGATAGGGAACATGAAAGATACGACCCGAGACGAGGACCTTTTGCTTTTTAATTTTTAAATTGCAAAGTGTAATCATACTTTTTGTAGTTTTGCTGACATATAATTTTGTTTTTTTTTTTCTCATTTTTCTCTGGTTTTAGCTATTTGAGCCTAATATATATACAATTACAGTTACATGTGCGCAAACATATGTGATTTTTGTATTTTCTTTCTTTAATTTTTTTTTTTCACTATATTGCTTCGTTTTTAATATCATTAATTAGGATTTTATATGAATTTTCAGTTACTTCGGTTCGACTGTTTTTTGCTTTTAAAAAGTTTTCTGTATTATAAATCGAATAATAATTTAATTCTGTTCTTATGTGTAAAATTGTTCGTCTAAAATCTAATCTAAACATGTTTAAAGTTTATCAATAATGTATGAAAGTATGTGATATTTTACAATGAAGTATTTGTAGAAGATATGCGTTTTGTTTTTCTTCTTTTTTTTTTTTTTTTAAAGCTACTGATGCTTAGAATCTTGTCACCGATGCATTTTCGTAAATCTGATAAACGTGTATTAGGTGAGGTTTTTAGGAAAACTGCTATAAATAAATTTTTCATCACGCCTGCTTTTAAGAAATAATTAATTAATTAATTCATTAATTTTCTAAGTGAAAACAAATAATCTATTCATACCCACCACAGGGGGTATATTAGTTTATTATATACGTTTGTAAAGCATTAAAAAATGCATCGGAGGCCAGTAAAGTATGCATATTTCGGTTTAGTGGAGTTAATTAAGCCATTTCTATCTGTATGTCAGTCCGAAGAAATCGCAATTATAACCTTGATAATTTGTCTAGAACAGATTAGCTTATTTTATTTATTCCTTTCGTCAACACAACCTGTCAATAACAAAAAAAAATTGTACCTAAATTAAGGTGTAGATTTATTACTTTAGAATTAATAAAATCTTCAATTTTTCTTCGCCCAATTTGATAACCGCAATTAGGGGTTGAAAGCGGGTACGACTTTCATGCAAACACGCATGCAAGAATTAAGAAAGTCGAACTCCCTCACATTTTAGAAGAGTTCTTGCATTGAAGCCCTCTTTAGATATTTCTTAGAGTCAATTTGAACGGTCATCAATCAACGGACAAGTATTTATGTAATAAAACTATAATGTATTGACATTTATGTAGGACGTCTCAGTGTTATCCGCCCTAAGCCGAAAATAATTTGTATTGTTTATATTAAATTTGCCATTATTCCCGAGTTTTCGTTATAGGCAGCTTCTTTTCACTCTCATAAGAAATAGAAAAAGCTGTAAAAAATAACGCGGTTATTGACTTAACCTCTCCTCATTAATCCTACACATGATTTTTACTTTATATAATTACCTGTGAAATGTTGTTAAATTGTAGAAAAATATATTTTAAGGTGCGTATAATATACATACGATACACGTTTATATATATTTTCACTTTACCTTGCATTACGCATTAAGTAAAGTTAGGTATAAAAGAATTCAGCTTACGTCGAATACAAACAGTTCTTTCTTGTTTTACATTAAGTATTGAAATGAAATCATTTTGGTAACGAATGCCCGATTTCTATGTATCAGTACCTTTATAGTGAACTTATGCATTGTTTTCTTATATTAATTTTATATTTAAAATTACTCTGAGAAAAATAATTGGAAAATTATAAAGAAAAGTTGAATTTGTTGTAAATTTTATTTTAATAACTCGTTCATCAAAAAATTGTAGGAATTTTTTTCAAAAAATAATTTTTTAATTTCATTTTTGATTCCGTATATATCCTTAAGCACAAATCTGTTTCAAAGTCGTAGATAATCTTTTGAAGGTTGAATAGAAGAAATTCGGTTTGACATATAACGACCTGTAGCAGATGTGTGTCATATAAGTGTGATGCTATAATATATTTTCAGAGGGAATTTCATGCCTTTCATGCTTTGCAATCCAAGAAACTTACAAATTGTCTTAGGATTTATTCATTGGAACTGCTTACATAATTAGGATGGTCTCCCCTGAAATGGTCATTAACTTGAGTTATTTCTAGACATTAACATTCTCCACATTCATAAGAGTTCGGACGATTCATATATAGCAGTTATGCGTTAAATACATAATGGAGAAGAGATAAGACATTTATATGTATATATATATATATACCGTGAGGCATACTACAGATACCCCCATCAACACTTTCTTACTTGGGGATGAGTCAATTGTTAATTCGTTACTAAATTTTGAATCAATACCTATTATGGCTCGTAAGTTAAAATTTTTGCCTATTTTGGCAATACATCTATTGTTAGTTAGATCACGTCCACTGAATTAAATTTCTTGCGAGTGTTGTACAAACTAAAATTTGCTATGGATTGTAATTTAGACGATTTTGCAGATTACACTGACACTACGCCTATTTTCAAATGTAGTTAGTGATCATCAACGAAAATAACAGACTGTAGTAACAGAAAGGAACTGAAAAATGAGTATGATAAACACTGTGCGGTCGTAAATTACACAAAAAAGAAGCGTGCCGGATTTCAAAGATAAGTAGATTGTGCCTGCGCGGCCGGCAAAAGCATAGATGCGCACAATAAAAAAAACTTATATCTTGCGCTTATTAAAGATATGTGTCTATGAACACATATGGGGGATCTCTGATGCTTATTACTCATTGCTGCAAAAAAGACAATAATTGCTTAATCTTAATGAAACATATGAAGTCGGAATTAAAAACTATTTACTTCGGAAGAAAATCATAAATATTTCAGTATGAATTATATATTTATGTGTATACGTACATATGCATATATATATCTAAATATAAAGTGAACTTAGATTGTCTACTTAATTAGTTAGTTAGTTAGTTATAATAACGGGCAAAGGGTTTTCTATTCTACCATAGTTTTTTAAACAATAACACATGATAATACATACACATCTAAATGTGATAATGCGTACTTCATTAATACGTATATGTGTAGGTAAGTATGCACGTGTGTAATATAATGTAATGTAATGTAAGGCACATTTTATAAAAAACAAATAATAAGTAAATGCACTCGATCCATATAAGCGAGTGTATAAATACATGGAAATACTGAGATGTTTTCTATTTATAACATTCACATTAAATTTAAAAGCACCTTCATTGGTATGCACAATATGGATACAATTGAAATTAATTTACCGAAACTTGCGTTGTTCGTAGTTGCAGTTGAGGTACCCATTTTATATTCCATATCCAAATCAAAGAGTAAATCATGATTCCGTGTATAAAATTGATGGATATCACTTATCTAAAGTATAGGAAAAGAAAATGGATCAAGTTCACCTGTTAGTAATTATTTATTTAATGTTCACACAAAAATTGACTTATTCAGTCTGTTAGTCACTTATTATATAAATTTGATCACGTCCGACTACTCTCACTATGCCAATGCCAGTGTTCGTTGTTTGGATTAATGTGTTCTTTTCGAAAATCTGTCATCCTTCAGAAACTAAAGCGGCCTAAGTTACGCTCTTTTATTCTTCCTATATAAATACATCATCTTTTAGGTTTCTTTTAAAATTTTCCAAAAAATTGTTATTTCATTATGGATTTAAAAATGTAAGGACTGAGAAGACGACTGCACTAAAAGGTATAGATAACGATATGAATTTACCTGGCCCACACTGGGATTAGTTTGTGGGATCTATATTAACTAATTAGATGTTTTCGACATAAGATTTCAACACGCTACACGATTAGTAGCAGAATCGAGTTATTGAAAACTAGATTTGCTGATGAACGACTAACGAAAATTGTTCTTGATAAATCTTTAATATGGAAGCATTAAGAAATTTTAACCTCGCATTCTTCAATGTTACAAATTAAATGCAGAAATTTTCTTTTGATACTCTTGTGTGTTAAGAGACGTCCTCTCAATTGACTGAACTCTTGGCAAGAAACTGCAACGGAATCTCAAATATATGTTGATATCTTAATAAACGAGGGTTTACTTGGTCAAGAATAAATAGTTGTTGAAATGCATATTGTATTTTAAAAAATTTCAAACCGCTTACGTACCTCATTCCATCCATATTTATTTCTGGCTTGAACTATAGCCTCATAGACCGCATTATGCTCTAAATTCTTTATAACATACGACATTAAATAGTGCGTACTATCCGATCTAATTGCTATAGGTTTAATGTGAAATTCGTGCCATTTTCCTGGATGTTGATACGTTTCATTCATCTAAAGAAGGCATATACAAATTTGAAAATACGAAGAAGAAAAATATTTTAGTATAAATAAAGAATCTCGATAAATAAATAAAATAATGATAAGAACATAACATAACAATAGTAAAAAAATGTACCAATAATCGTCGATATAATAATTTCACTTCTTCCAAGGGTGGTATAGATTCAATTGTCCATGTTAAATTATAATGATCCAAAGTGCCACTAAGCGCTGGTGATATGAAATCAGCTGGTCCCGGCCTGCCCGATACTTCAATGTACTTTTTTGTGCGACCAAGTGCATTATCAGCTACACAACTATAGTTTCCAAAATCCGAAGATTGAAAGTTTCGTATAATTAAACTGTAACGATCATCCCTTGGATACATAGATCTCCTGTCCGTAGGATCCAAAAGAAATGAATTTTGATACCACATCATCTATAGAACGAAATATAAATTGAAACCAAAACAAAAAATTTTAAACCGATTTTCACGTTAATTAACATAGGAAAATAGTTATATTCCCGTTGTCGCGAGACTGGTAGATATTGCTTAAACGTAAAGAGTTTTCCTATTTATATTATATATATACGTATACATCTACACATACATAATGGCGTTAAAAAAGGTTCCGTTTAAGTCAGAAGAAGATCTTTTATTTATTGTAATTTGATAAGTATTTGAATGTGCAGCTTTCGTTATGATTATATGGCAACACTTAAAGTTGCCTACATAATAAACTATCTATGTCGTATTCTTACAAATCAATTTCAACACTATTATGCATTAATAGGCAAATATTGACCCGTTCCTGCTGATGGGTAAGAGCCGAAAATGTGAGACATTTGTAGTCTTTATATGCTACGTAAAAAAACATGAAGAGTGAAAAGAAAAATATTTTCTTCACGAACTCATAGACTTTTGGCAGTTGCACAGTTAATTGATCGGTTTGCAATTGAATGACATTTTCATTTTTTGTAATAAAATTAATAAAAATTTATAAAACTTTATATGAGTACATACCTCTGAGTTGACGTCGCCATGGACAATACAGACTAGTTCTACATCGTAACCTTCGGCTGCATGGACCCAAGATTTTTCAACAGTAATTTCCGGTGGTGCTAAAAAAAATAAACAGTAAAATTGACAATAAAAAAAATTTTAGGCAGTTTCTGAGTTCGTTTGATTTCTTCTTACTTACACAATATTGTCAGTTGTATGTCCATTGATACTCTTTCCTTTACGCCATTATCGGCTGAACATTGATATATGCCGGCATGATGCCGGTCGACATTTTCCAGTATTAATGTCGAACTGTCCGATAAGTGCGTTGGCCCGGAAAAAACATCCTTTTTAAACCAATATATAGTTGGCACTGGATTACCGGAAGCTTTACATTCAAGAGTAACCGTGCTGCCTTTTCTGGCCGTAACTTGACCATTGTGAGGAAGAGCTCGTAGCGTTGGCGGAACTATGAAATGAAAAGTAATTTTAAGTCTATAAAGTATTCTTTTACTCATATCGCACGATAGCTGCTTTTCCATAATAACTTCGATTCATCAGCGGCAGGAAGTGATGTCACGAAACTAAACCGGTGTTAAATTATATCGTTTATTTGAATTATAAAAACATATTTTTCAATAGGAGGCCGACCTTTCCTTTTTATATAAAATGCTTACAGTAATTTGAAAAAATTAATTTATCCTATTATATGAACCAAATAACCAAAAATATTACAAAAACATTTAAAAATTTCGACCATAACCGAAAATGCATCGCTATCTCACTAACCACCCGCTTAAAACAGTATGTTTCAAGTGATGTTTTTCTTCATTGTCACAAAATATGGTGCACCTTCTTGTGACATGACAAATCAGCATACAATTTGCGAGTGAATAGTCCTTAGCATTCTTTGTGCCGTAGAGTTTAAACAGTCTTATAGGAGCTTGATTTGCTTTTTTCTCCGTTAGCGAAAGAAAAATAGCAAAATAGCGTAAACGGATAATTTTGGTATTGAATAGAACCGTCTTGTAAAGTGTCCACTTCCTATATCAAACCCCATCTTCTTTTTTTTCTTTTGTGAGGTAACATAGTATGCGTTATCTTTCCATATTTTTTATGCTGCGAAAGCATGTCACGCTAGCTTCGACAATCCAATACATCACTTACCCAGTATTTCAACTGTATGTACTTGATCGCGATTTTCCTGATCACCTAATTGGCATATGTAATCGCCGGCATCTTGCGTTTTTACACCATTGATTTGTAAATTGTAATCTCCAACAATTTTAAAGCGCGGATCTCGTGTTATTTTCAAGTGACCAGCTGTTAGCACCGATGAACCTTTTCTCCATAATAAAACAAATGAACCTAAGTTTTGTACTTTGCACGGAAGTTCAATTGTCTCGCCAACAATCACTTTGTATAAATGGCCGCGGGATAAAAATTTCGGTGCTACAGTAGGGGGATCATTTTCAAACGAACCATTGGGAAATGATTTTACTGTCAATAGATATAATTATAAAATATTTAAATACGTAATTAAGCGATATAGTAACCTGGTCTAAAAAGCTGAAAGATCAACAGCAGACTTAAAACAGTAAACCACATCAAACGTTGCCGCGTATACCACACTAAAGTCATCTGTAAGAAACGAAAAACTATATTTTCATTATAAGTTTTATGTGGGAGAGAAATTTTTAACTCAAATATAATAAAAAAAAAATTGTTCGCAATAATCAAAAATGAACTACGCAAGTCCATTTAACAAATGTTCGATTTTTTTTCATTCGCCTAATTTAAAGGGCCAAGCAATTGTACCTAACGGAACTATTTAAAAATTACAAAATGATATCGAAATTGCCCCTTTATCTATTCTGCTAACACATACAGAATCTTATGATCTGACAGAATCTTTGATCAATAGATGAATAATTCTTTCTCAATAATACAAATCTTTGACCGACCGTATGACATGTTACTCCATCTCCCGATTAACTTTATTGTAAATAGGATACATAATCAATAAACATCGAGAATATTGTTCTTGCCGGTGTTGGCATTACTCAATGCAATTCTCTGCGCACTCTATATTAGTTTGTTTTTAAAGTCTAAGTTCAGTAATTCACTGCCTCCAAACATTCTATTGAATTAGTGTCCTAGCTCTTATTAATTTATTTAATGTCTTTAATATCATCGTAGACCCTCTAGTGTCACTTGTTATTCCGATGGCCAATGATGAGTGATCATAAAGTCCAAAGAGTTACAATCCATAGCGCTTATACAGTTATAAAAAATGTTATCTAAAAAACATAATTTGTTTACTTCTTCTACACTGTTTACTTCTTCAAGACCCATTGAAAAAACGCTTTTCCTGCCATATTGCCGCCATTGACAAGTTATTATATTGTTTTCTAAGCAAAGCGTAATAGCAGTTGTCCATTTGGAATTTGGCGGAAATATCTAGTGAAAAAATTGTATGAATTTGATATATTACCACATCATTATTACATTTTATATTAGTTTTCTTTAGAATTTTTTACATTTCATCATTGGTTGTTAAAGATTTCCAGTAACTTTGCGCTTTATTATTATAAGATATGTATTCAAAAGGTAAGTGGAACAAGTACAAGGCAAAACCATGATAAACGATGAATAGCACAAGAGTATTACAATCCTTTGATTGTGAAGTACCTTCTGGATTTATCTTTTATCTACCACACACACACATTTCTTAAATGGTTATATATTAAAAACTAATATATTTTGCCACTAAAACATTTCAAAACCTATTAAGATACTTATCAAACATTGATCAGATCGGTGACAGATTGCTAACAGCTGCAGCTTAACAGATAAGAAAAAAAACATTTCAATAAGTGTTAATCTAAAGATAGTGGTAGACTATGTGAACCACCCATACTAAGATAAAATCAAAACACTCCTATCATTCCTTTACTTTAAAAGAGAGAGTAATTCGGGATGTTTTTGCAGTGAAAAAATGGCATTGTATTAAACTTTATGCAAGATTGTACTTATGAAAAGTGACCAAGAATGTATATCGGTACGTACGTTGCAAAAGCATATAAATATTATGCGTTAGCAGTCGTGATGAACGTTGTAATAGACTGTAATAAGTTGTTGTTTTCCTTTATTAAATAAATTTTCGTTGACTTTATTTCAAAGTTTTAGAGATTTTGGATTATATTGCATTTGCAGGCGTATTACTGTTAAGATCTAAATTAATGTGATTTTCTTAATTAAACGAGATAAAGTACTCAAATATGCATCCGCTGTATATACAAATATCTAAGTGTAAATTGCATTTACTTAGATAAAAGATTAATTAAACTTTATGAGTAAAGCGAAGTTCAGGAGATAAACATTATTGGCTAGTAATATATTTATCTTTATACATATGCGTATATGTATGTATATATGTATGAATGTGTAGTATAGGTAAAGAATAGTATGCTCCTTTGAAGGTGTATGTACATATATCAAACATACGTGTGCTTGTATTTGTGTGTATATGTTTAACGATATAGTTTTTGCATTTAGTTATATATATATGTATATATGGAAATATTCAAAGTTTAACTGCTGCCCATTTTCACGAAGTGTATTTATATATATAATGCTTACGTGCGCACACACAAACCCATATAAACATACATACACACACACTTCCAAGCCCATACAGGCCCACACAAACAAACCCACACTCAATCACATACAATTAAAGTCAAAATTATTATATTTATTATATTAAATATTTTTCTCACTGTAGTATATTATTATTAAAATTTAAATTACAACCGTCGCTTAAAGAAATTATTATCCTATGAGTGTAAGTTTCTTCAGTTTTTTCCTTTTGTTTTATAATATTACACTGTCTTGTCGGTTACAGAATTTTCAGTAAGGAGACGATTAAATTCTAATAAGAAAACCGTACATGGTGTGTATGTATTTATATTACTAGAGACTTACCTTAGCTTAGTTTTTTGTGGCTATGAATGTCACCTTTTCTTGTTAAAAACCGTTTAATCGTTTTTCTCTCTTGCCTTTTGCTAAAACTTTCTCTCTTTTTTTAAATACAAGTATATTTAATTCATTAATTTTTCCATATGTTGCACGATTTCATATTATTTTTCTTTACCAAATTTTATTTTATTATTAATAATTACGATTTATTTTTTACTAAAAATTTCTTTATTACCCACAATTTGTTCTACTTTTGAGAGAAACTTTCGTAGCATTCCAGGATAGACAAGAAATTTGTATTTACACTTTTATTAATATCGGAGTTATTATGGCGCAGGCGTCAGAAAGCGTTTTCTAAAAGCTTCAATTCCACAGGACTTACATATAACGTGTTGCTGTAAGCTTTTCTTCCCTTTGCAATTCAATTCTTATCGTAAGTGCATATATGCTATATATATATATGTACGTACATGCGTATGCATGTTTGCACGCATTGGCTTATGTACATATTTCTATAATCCCTTTGCTCAATGTGTAGGTGTGCATAAGGAAATATAGTGAAACCAGCCATATGCATGTATGAAGTCGTTATCAATTAAAACCTAAAGTTCGAGAAAGGAAATATCCATTAAAAGTGAACCGTTTTTAAATAATTGACATTTCTTAGTGTTTATGAATTTTATAATTATAGTTAGGTGGCTTTATTCCAATGTTCAATCTTTATGCCATTGATCTCTTCGCAATTAGATCAGAAGTTTTAATAGATAAACAACTGTAAATTTTAGTCTCTCTTCGTTAACTGTTCATCTTACATTTGAAAGAACAAAGAGGGCGTGAGAAAGCGAGAGAGAGAGCGAGAGAGACAGAGTTACGTAAATACCTTTACAAGACCGGGCGCATCAGTATACAGATATTGAGTTGAGAAGCAATAAGGCAATGTTCAAAATATTTCCATTAAGTTAATGTGGTCGTGTGGTCTCCTTTCGCTCAAATATAGTGATCGATTTAAATTTATTCCAACTGAAATTGGTTTTAACCCTAACCCGTACATGCTGAGCCTCTGAGGTTCATTTAAATTTTAAACTTTAATTTTTTGATTAGATCATATTGCATTTCCAAAAAAAATGTTTGATTTTAACTTTAAAGAAACAAAAATTTGTAAATTTACAATTAGCCACGAAGTCAAAATTAATGCTTGTCACTTTTATAACAAATCCTACGCTCACAATCAGAAAGGAATGCAATGTCTTGGACAGGAAGTACTCAATTTATCCAAAATATAGGACTGGGATGTATTGAAAAACTGTGCGTATCATTTCAGAACCATGATCGCACTATCGAATTTAATGATTTCTTTACGAGCCATCAGCGAAATCGACGTTTATGCAGAACTATAATAGCTGTGTAATGTCTGTTGTAAACATTCTTCTGACCGTAAAAAATGAAATTATAAGTTTCAAGTTTGACAAAAGGATTGGAAATTCTTGTACGCAGATTGGTCAAAATCCGTTACAAGACGCGTCTGCAATGCAATATAAACTGAGAACACTTTTGCTTTCTGCGACTTTTTGCTTGTTACTCACAAACTACAATAGAGACACGATAGAAGTTTCCACTTGTATTCTACAAAAATATAAATAGTAATCAGCCACGCTCATCCAACAATATAGACTATGAAAATTAATTATTTTTTATTCTTTTTTAGGATAAAGATGATGATAGAAAAGACTCGATCACAGCCGAATATAATTTTTTTAGTTGCTTTATTTTTATACTTTACACCACTTGTGGTATAAGACTGACTTGATACAGACCGATCTTTTATTGTTATTTATCAAGTCAGAACCGACTTCTGAAACGATCTAAGCTTCCCTGTCCACCCTGTTCTCTTGTGTGCAATCTACATTCCGAAATTTATGCGATATTGTAAATGGTTCGCGTCGAACCACTTTCTCGACCACTTCCCGACACACGTCGATGTTCCATCTCAAGCATTGCGAATACAGACCGCTATTATACCTTATATTATAATTTAGTGATTACTATATAATTATTGAAACGGACAATAAATTTAACGAAAGATTTACCCTTCTTTAATTATTTTATTAAACTAGAACTAATCCCTGGAAAAAACAAATTAATATTTTGTTTTAATATCAAGAATATTTTTATTTGTTTCTTTTCATTCATAGTTAATACAACGTTTTTGACTTTCAAGGATTCCTTCAAAAAAAATATAATTGTTCATAAAAAAATTCATTGGGGTTATTACGTAGCCGAAAGTCAGCTGTCGCCTTTGTATAAAAGCGAAAGCTAAATTTATCTACGACTATAAGAGAGTGTAGTAACTTGCAGTTTCATTTGCAATAAATTGCCATGAAGAGTAGAAAATATTTTTGTAGTAGAACATGATTCAAATCTTTATTGTTTACATGAATTAACAAATTATAGGAACAATTATGTCTTATTTTTAATTTTTTTTTTACCATTTTATTGTTGCCTTGATCTGCATTGACACTGGTATTACTCAATATTGCACTAATTTACGCAGTTATACTTTTCCTCCACGAATATTTGCATTTTCTTAATGGTATATAAACGGAGAGAATATGCATAGATAATACGGTAGGTCTCAGGCTTAGTTGAAGAAAAAAAGGACTACATTATTCTCACTTATTTTTAGCGCATTTGTCGTACAAATTGTAACAGAACACCGAAGGCGGGAAAGAGCACAGTCCAAATATTCTCCATGTCGTAAAGAACATTAGAAGTTATCACAAAAATATAATATCGCTGGAATGTCAAAAATTCGTCATCGCCAACACTGTTATCGCATATGTACGAAACATTTGTAGTTATGAAAAATTTCAGAAAAAAGAGCTTTTTCCAAACATGATTTCCTATTAATGTTGTGACATTTACCTTTGGCATTATACATCAATTTATTCATACATCTAAACATAATAAATTTGTGATTCTCGATCTGGCTCACAAAGTATACTCTCGTGGATGTGGTCTATTCTGCGTTTAATTTGTTTTTCGAAAATATGTACAATCGTATGGCAACGCTTCTAATTTCGTCAGTACAACGGGAATCAAGAAAACTTAGATAAATGAAAATGTCCTTCAATTTATGTCGGATAGTTAGTAAAGATATAAAATGCTTCAACGTGTCCTACAAACGTTATTTCTTAGGAATATCAAACAAACAAGAAAATGAAGAAGACACTGAGTCTACTAACTTTGTTGATGATAAAATAGAAACTCCGAAAATTAACCGCAATAAGTCCGGTCTGACGACAGCTGATTGGAATAGACTTCATAATCGTCGCCCTTACAATGTAGCACAATCTTGGGTTCATTTAACCGAAAAATATAAGCGCAAAATGTTTGGGCAATACGGATTTGAGAGCAATATAAATCCTCGGATATGTTTCCCTACAAAACTAGATATTGAGGCAAAACTGCGGTACGATAGCGTTGCAGAATCACATATGTTAATAGACATGATGAATGCAGCTAAGGAAGAAAGAGAAAGGCAAAGAGCAAAGGTTTTGAAGAGGGACGAAGAGATTAACAACAAAATGAAAAAATTAGATCAATGGAAGCAAGATTTGCAAAATAAAATTGACAAAAAGGAAGCAGAAGTTCTGGCTATAAAACAACGCAAAGAACGCTTGATTGAGGAAGTGCGACATCATTTTGGCTTTAAGATTGATCCCCGCGACGAACGCTTCAAAATAGTTTTGGAGCAAAAGGAAAAAGAGGAAAAGAAAAAAATGAAGGAAGGCAAAAGACAAGCAAAGGAACAAAAGTTAATGTCAAAATTGATTTCCACAACAAGCCAGAAATAATTTTATTCATATTTCACAATAATTACAATAAAAATCATGAAATTGCTAACTTGCTAACACAAAAATTCTTTTCAGACACATTTTCTTTTTTAGCCAGCTTAGTTTTACTTGTTTTGTTCTGGATTGCTTGCCCCTGAAATGAACATCAGCAATACAATTGGAACAATGTACATCCACTAAAAAGAAAAAAAGTTGAAATACATTATCATATTGGACATAGTCCTCTTATACTTACGTATTTGGCGAAGAAACCTCTAGTGTCTTTCGTTTCTCCCCGTTGTCTGGCTTCACGCTCACGTTCTAGTTTTTGGATGTAACCTGCTGTGTCCGGTATCGGAGCGAGATCAGTATGCTTAATTAGAACATCTGTGGTAAAGTCTTGTAATATTAATGATTCTAATTCAAAATCTGGGCAATCGTCAACGCCATTCATTTGCGGCACCATATATGTTATCGCGTTGACATAACCACTGCCATCGATGGATATCCAAAACTCGTCATTTAGCTGGTTGTTTATTAAACTGCAGAATTTATTTGCCGTTAAAAAAGTCCGCCTTGCACCGCTCATATAAACAACCGTAGCTCTAAGCCGATAAAAAGCATTTTTGTACACAAATTTCTAAAATTGTGCGCTATGTTAACATAAATTTTATCGTTACAATTTTCGCATGCGCTCTTTTTACCTTGGATGCATTTTTTTCATCAGTAAACAATGACTTCTGATTTATACTAGATATTCCTGAATTAACATTTGAAACGGTTATATTTCCGCGATATGTAAAACTATCAGGAATCTCCGGATTTACGGCATGATAAAGTTCGATATGTATAGAACCGTCATACTCCAAATATGCCTGAAAAATGCCTAATTAAATAAATTCAATCAAAGAGCTTGTATTACCATTCCGAGCTTAGCTAAACTAAGAAAAGTCAACGCCGCTAGCATTAACATATGCATAGTTAATTCCTTCACCGTTTTTCTCATGATTTAAAACAATTTAATTTGTAGTACAAGTCGAGTACAAACTCATTAAATGGATTGTCAGAATAATTACAATATAAACGACGGCCCTGCCAGACTTCGGGCAAAAGGAATATTCATTTCCACACTTTGCTTAAAAGTGACTGCACTGTTTTTTAATATGAATTAAAAAGAAAAAATTTTCCTTTTACATGAATTGTTTCGTTTTAACACAATTTTCAATATTCTACGAATTTTTTTTATGAAATTTTCTGATGAAGCTTTGTTTTTGATATTTCCATGAATTTTTCATTCTCACTCCTCATAAATATGCGTTACATTTTCCAAACCTCAGTTAGCATATGTCGATTGCATGCGATGAAAACAATGTATATTTTTTTTACGCAATTTAATCTAGTTTTTTCAAAGCATAGTTTATTTTTTATTACATATTTAATGTATGAAAGTGTATAAGCACGAAATAAATTCTTAAGTGAACTCTAACAGGAAGTTTTCAATATTGTTTATTGCACTGTTCCGTTGCTTTTTTAGGTGTGAAACCATTTAGCCAATGTCTTTTTTACACGGATTTTTGGGAACCTATGTATCGTGGAGCAAGGGAATCAGGCGTGTTATATTTTATCTTCAAAATACGTTTTTACAAACAATCATAACCAATGTATTCGAAATACGGCATCACAGGTCATGCACAGATATATAGCTATATGGTGTAGCATAAATATTGAAATCTGGCATATTTAAGGAAAACGAATGTGAAAATGTACCATTATTCGATTTTTGCTGATTTAGAACGAACTTCGCTTATATGGCTTATTGGCTTAGCCCATCTCCACTAAACAACCCAAAAAAAAAAAAAAGAAAAGAATTATATGGCAAAGAGAAATTGTAAATTTACCTGGATGCATTAAATAAAATCTGCAATCTGATCAAACATGAATTTGGGTTTATCTGGTCTCGGATGGCGCGCTTCTATCAATTGATAAACTCAATGCGACTGTTACTATGTGTATGAGTGAAGAAAAATCGACCATAAAGAGAATCTTCCAATAAAGGGTGTGACTTTAAAAATCGCATCGTTTTTGAACTGTCAACATAGAATTATTACGATGACATTTTGGATATAAAAATTGGGTTTTTTAAACGTGTTCGTTGGCAGGATGTTGAAATGTATAAACAAGGTCACGATATTTTAAATAAAATTATTCATAGTAACGACGCTGACGTGCATTTGCCATAGTATTTCAAGAAAGTAACGTATCCCACCTGTGAGTCCGAAAAACAAAGAGAAATAGTCATACTAGCTCCTCACACAAGACCAGTGACAATTTGGCGCAGCTGTCGCACAGACTGTGTAATTGGGCCATACTTTTCGAAAACGCTGTCGATTCGACTATTCCAGCGTTACTGAAAGATATTAACTAAATTCTTGCTGTTCTAAAACTAATAATATAGATGCGAACAATGTTAAATTTTTGTAAGGCGACGCCACATTTCAATATTCTACGTATTTTGCATCACGGCGCTTAAAATAATAAATTTAAATTGACACTTTCCCCCAGAATGGTTTTCTATGACATGTTAAGAAGAAATTACATATTATGAGACATTTCGCAAGCAACATTTATGCAACAAAATTATCACATCCAAGATTACGGCATTTCGACAACGTAAATAAGCGCTATTAAAGAGAGCAAAAACAAAGGGAAAATGAGCACAATTACTGGGGGATAATTACGTAGCTGAAACTTAACTTGCGTACATTCTGAACATGTATGCAATCTTCTGGTGAAGTGTGTATGTGAATTAATGGTACAATAGAAGCACTTGTGCGTGTTTATGCACCCGTTTGCCTAGGTTTGCATTATTTGGGCTTGTGTGCGAAAAACAAGACATTTGCAATTACAAACAATTTATTTATTATCCCACAGAAAATTTTCATCGAAACATGAAGAACATAAAATGTAGAGATCCGCCTGAGTAGCCGAAGGGGAGGAACCTCGACTAGCAAGTCAATGGTCGTGGGTTCGAATCTCAAGTGCGGTAGAGTTTTTAATAAAAGCCGATAGCCTTAGATGCTAGTGCTTTTAAGAGTTTAGTCTTAGAATTTATTTCTGTGGCGAAATTAACAATAATAATAATAATAATAAAAAGTAGAATCAACGAACATAAAAGGTAGAATTATCAAACGATAAAACGAAAACTACCTAGTCCATCTGGTCGTTTGTTTTTTCTCGCAAACATATACTTATATGTATATCATAGCGTATATTCACAATTCAAAAGGATTGCATATGCTTCTGCTTTTCAAACGTTCAAGCCAATGTGACGTCATGTAAAGAAACTATTACCAAAATTACAAATTAATTAAAAAATGGCTTCTAATAATAACGAAACGTAAAAATTCATACGTAATAATCTTACAGTTTGAATTAAAAAAAAGGTTTGAAAATGGTATTTGGTTTTCCCTGTTCCACGTTTTTTATAGAAGGCTATGGCATAATAATTTTGTTGCGGAAATGTTTTTAAATGTTCTATCTTGTAATGTATAATGTTTCAGTAACACTGCAATCAAGTAACATTTAAATGTTTTTGCAATTGGTCTAGAAATATAGAAAAGAAAAAAAATATATATATATATAAGAAATATAAAAACCATACTCTCTACTCAAAAAATTTAATTCTTTGATTTTCTCTCCTTAATACTGTAATTTATTATCGGAATTACGCATTTTTTATTTAAATTATATACTTTTAATAAAGGAGTACCGAAAATTTGAATCCAGGATATGCGATGTCATGAGATTTACGTTCCTTTTTATGTACGTGAAACATTTTTTAATCAAATGCTTTGATTAAAGAGGGGAATGATTGCACGAAGGAAATTCACTTCAAATTCTTTTTCTGAAAACCTTTCAACAGATGCCCTGTAATTAATGAAATTGTAAAACTAAGAATTTGAATACACCATTTTCTTTTCATATTACCGTGCTGCATCGCGTATCATATCGTTTTCCTCCTTCTTGCTGCGTATAATATTTAAAATGCAATTTGCGTATTCTACAGCATCAGCCGCTAAGTAACCGTTTTGACTTCCTTCAGAAGTCTCAATAATATCTAATAGAGGACCGCCAGTCTTGTGTGCCACCATAATAATACCCGCCGCCATACATTCAACAATACCAATGCCGAAATGCTCGTTCCACATGGTATGTATGCCAATGCTAGCTTTCTTATAGAGTTCAATAAGCTCGAGGTAGGGCACGTTAACTTTGAATTCGACGTTATTCTCTAGAGATAAATGTTTGGTAAGATCTTGTATGTTTTTAAGACGTTCGTAATCCTCATCATTACGACACGAGCCAACGATCACCAAATGTATTTGAGTCCACATCCCTTCGTTACGGTTCAATAATGTGCGCAATTCATACATAGCTTGTAATTGAAGTGGATGATTTTTCTCTGGCCTGAACTGGCCTATTGATAATATTATTATTTCATTTGAGTTTTCGATGTGTTCAAGACTTTTTAAATGCAGTACTTCACATGGTGGATAAACTCGATGTGTTTTAAAAGGGACATCCCACAAGTCTAATATATGATTTTCGGTCCACGAAGAGTTGACCATTATAGTCTCTGAACATTGCCCAACCCAACCGTAAACCTAAACAAAGAACATAATATATGTGATTGATATATATATAATGAACTAACCTTTGCGAATAATCTATAATAAGTAACCTTAAGCCACGTCAAAAATGGGTTGCGCACGACATAACTGCGATTATTATGGGAATACTCTCGTTGCTGGACGCGTCTTAGCATATCGATACTGATAATCGGATAATGAACGTAGCATCCAACTTTACAGCGTCCAATATAACGAAACAGAGGTAATGTAAAAGCATATCCCATTGTGTCGATATAGATATCTGGTGGATGTTTCCAAAGTCCTTCCAAGCCTAAAATAATGGATCCAATACTTTGACCCAACAATGTGAAATATGGATATCTTTTCGCTTCAACCCAATGCCGACATTTTAAGTACACAAATGTAATGCTGTCCTTATCCAGGCTTATGTCAAAGACATCCTTAGCTTTTCCTAATATATTCTTTGGTGATGTTTCGATGTCGCCAGTGTAAATAATTACTTTAACATTATCATATTTTGCCTGCAAAGAAATTAGATTTTTTCGTCACCGTGAAAACTCCGAGCAGCATATTTCTACACCTAAGCTTATCATATTTGTTCGAATGAACATCAAGATTTGACTAAATAACACAATTTTCACTTACTGAAGACAGTTACCTACCACTTAGCGCAAAGCTATGAAAATTCCAAGATTTTGTTTTTTATTTCATGCTTTTTATCGAAGGTCGCAAGTTACCTACGAAGTAATGTCAACATTTTTAATCTTAATCCAATTGGTTTCTCAGGTGTCAACTATTGTGGGCGTGGGTACGAATGTGCAGCCATCATTTCCAGACTCGCTCTGTGATATTGACTCATAACACATATATGCTAAATTTTAAATTCCATCGTTGTTTGCTGCTATTACAACGTAAAAGACTATAAAATGACACAGAATCTTTGGAATGTACGTGTTGTATGTTTTGAGACAAATTTCTGAATGTGACAAATGAGAAAATGGAACTTATTTTCTTCCATCTTTATGTAGCTTTCGGTTCGATCTTGAAGTCTGAATGTTATACATTATTTAAAATTACGCTGTGTTGAGACCCGTTTAAGAACAAACGTTAAAAAAGTTCTAACTGAAGTAAACATTAACAATACCTGTAGCATACTAAAAGGGCTCTAAACCAAATTGCGTCTAGCTCGCCGAAATTGGGGGCCCATAAACGAAATTTGCTCTACAGAATTTTTATAATTTTTATGTGTTGTAAACGAAAGTGAAGTGTAATGTGTAAATTTACTTCACAAGCCAGTATCATTCAAAGCAAGTTAGTTATAAAACGTTTATAATTAAAATAAACAATATGAATAATAAATTACAAAACAATACATATAATGATTATGTTGAATAATATGAGCTATAAATTAATACTAATTAAGTTATTGCCAACGTAATTTATTTAATTAACAGTAACATTTAACTCACCCATCTAAAACTCGCAGAATGTACATTTGTGAAAAAAAACTAAACAATTAAATGACTTTAAAACTACCAATCGTTGTGTGTAATGTGACCAATCATTTCGAAGGATTTGAATATGCGTTGCAGCCTATTGAGAGTCTCTTTTTTTTCCAAATGCGATAGGAGATACAGAAGGCTTTAGGGTTTTTCGTTATTCTTTAGGGCTTTG